AAAAAAAAGAATGAGCACATAATGATTTTGGTTGGCTTTCTCTTTTAATCAAAAACATACTTTGTTACAGAGTTCTCAAGAAGATTCAACTATTTTTTTTAGCCACAGACTTCAACCCGGCAAAAGTATACAGAAAGCCACAAAGGAACTAACTGGAGCTTCAGCTGACCAGTTTTCCCAAAAGCAGAAGCTAAGAGTGGCTCTTCTCTGGGTTTTGGCATAGCTGTATTCCTTGGGCTTTGCGGGAGGAGACAGAGTTGGGAAATACCATCACCAAATCTGTCCCTAACCCCCTAGTCACTTCTTCCAAAATGGGCTCTGAAGCCCACCAGGTTTTCGTCATCCATAAGCATTCACACTTTTTCCTTAAATCACATATTCAATGCATTACACAAAACCCCAAATTGGAGGAAGTTTGCCAACTCCATGGTTAGCCATTTAACTAATCCAAGCCCATGAGTCCTTCTATCAATGGCAAGCAGCCTTAGCAATAGCAGCTGGTTTCATCCCAACCTCTCCAGCTACCAGAGCTGGTCTCTACCAGGACTCCCCAACCCCCCACCTTCAACCCACCCTCAAAGAATTCTTCCCAGGTCCTTGAAAATGCCAAGTTCATAAACTATCCTCATCCAGGAGTAAACTGGAAGAGAACTCAGAAATGAATGACCCAGCCAAAAGTTGTCAAAATGGACCTAGAAAGAATCAAAATAAAAGTGAATTATCACCCACTGGTAATGATTTGAATCATATAAACCATTTTAACAAATGCAGTTCAGAGGAATTACCACTTTGAGCACAGAAGAGTTAAGGAACCAAAGACCCAAAGTAATGGCCTCTCATATCATTAGGCATTAACAATAGGTTTTCAATCCATTTTAGTTGAAAAAAAAAAACTACGAGTACAGAACACTTATAAGGATGGTATCATGCACATACTCTCTTAGAAGCTAGAATGTCATGACCCAGAAAAAAGCCTTTATAAACTTTGAACAGAGATGATGGAAAAATGAAGGCTTTCCCCCTTCTCAGGTTTTTGTTCTTATAAAGTATTTATTGCAGCCCCTAAGGTGGTGCTAGGCCTTTGGTTAAAATTAAGTCTTAAGAACATATCGTGTAATCTCTAGTCCATAGGAGAACAGTAATAACATAGCAAGCCTAATCTTACTTGAATAACTGGGGGCGGGGGGGAGTGGGGAACGACACACACCTCAAACAGCAGAGTAGGTAAGAAAGAAATACAAAACTGCTGCAAGGTAGGCAAGGTCACTTAGAATTCAGAGCTGGAAGAACTAATCTAGTCCAACTCCCTCATTTTACAGATGAGGCAACTGAGGCCCAGAGAAGGTAAATGACTTACCCAAGGTCACACATCAAATTAGTGGCAAAGCACAAACTAAAGAGTGCAAATGTCTGGCCTAACCAGGAGCCATTAGTTTCAAACTGAACATGAACATGAACTCTGGCCTTACTGAAAATGCTTCTTAAATAAAGTGTGTGAAAAGTACCTATATCCACAGAGAGAAATGATTGTCTTCACCTAAGTTTTCTCCTTAGTCTTCCTACATTAAGGGGCGAGTGTGTGTGTGTGTAGGGGGGTCCTTTCATTCATTCAAGTCTGATGTTAAAATCCCTGAAAACATCAGCCGTTACTTTAGTTACTCCTTGGGGCAGGTTATCAGTCACTCAATTTTCATAAAGGCACCTGTAGGTCAAAAGTATAGAGGAGGAAGGTAGAGCTGAGAGAACACCAAAACAAAACAAAAAAGACCCTCTTAATTTCTGAGGTTTGTGTTGTGTGTCTAGTTTGCTGGTGTCCTCTAAGCAACAGTACTGCCTCTGGCTGTTGATGCTAATTTTGGAGCCTTTGTAACCCCGTTTTTGTATGAGCAGCACTTAACTGGAAGCAATAAAACCTTTCAAAACATTACTCTAAGGGGGAAAATATGAATATGACTCATTTCTCTCTACCTCAACCACCTGAAACTCAGCAAGAATCAGAGAAGACTGGAAGTAGACAAACTGATGTCAAACGCCAATGCCCTGAAGTCCTTTTCAACACCTGACAGAAAAACGTCTTTTGAGTCTTGTCCCAGAATTTGTACTTCATTTTAAAGAAAGATCTAAAAATTTTGGTTATCTGGTTTCCTTGCTCAAGCAGTTAGAAATAATAGAAAGGAAAGAAGAAAATACTAAGGAGAGGCACACGGGAAACGGCAGCTATCAGAAAGGAAAAAGTCCAGAAGAGAAAAGGAGGGTTAAAATGACTGAAAATTCAAAACCAGAGCAGTCTGGGACCATTTAGTAAAGAGAAAACAGTTTTGTCTAATCTTAGAAGCTCCTGAAGTCTACACAGACAGCTAAGTACAAAAGAAATGTTATATTCAGTATATTCTCTGATATACAGATTGAATAACTCCATCAAAAAAATAGCTTAAAAAGTTTTACCGCTTAGTAAGGCAAGTTTGTGGAAAATTTCATCCCATAGTGATACCAGAAAAACAACCTAGCAACACTGGGACAAGTGCTAGGAATAAGGCTGGGCCAAGGATGCTAATAAGCATAAGGCCACTGACTTTTTACATCCTTCTTAGTATATTAATTAAGAGAAGAAATTACGTAGTTTTCAGAAGGAAAAGAATGGAAAGACTTGCCTAAGATCCTCCCAGCCTATTCTCAATAATCTTGCAAAGCAGGATTTAGGAGATTATTTACAGACTGCTACCTGCAACAAGATGAGTTTTGCCTTAAATTTTTTTTTTTTTTAATTTTTTAAAGGCATTTCTTCATGCAGTGTTAGCTGCTAATCTCTGCCAGGTCCCACCTACAAAAGTTGTTAGCCAACTTCACATGTAATTGCTCTCACGTAGTCATTTACCTCAGTAACCTAAATTCACCATTTTACCAATTTACTGTCATTAAATCAAATGCTAATAAAATGACTGATGAAGGAAGCAAACTATAGAATCAGTTAAAAAGAATTCTTCCCTATTCAGAGAATAAAACTGCTCCTTCAAAAAGGGTTTGAACTTAATTGACTTTGCATAAAACAGCTAGTGACTCTTAACCAGTTACCACCAGATCAGGAGCAAAAATATTTTGCCTCCACAGATATTTAGGGAGTATTAGGGGGAAAATGTAAATTTTCGTTTCCCAGATGGCCATAATCAAAAAGATACCTGCAATTCACCTTCCTACAATTAACAATAAACTTTTAAAATAAGAATTTATCATAAGAAAGACAGGATATTTCACTTTTCCTCCAAAACTGCAAAATTGCTATTACAAACCATACCATCCTCCCCCATAAAAATGGTTTTTTAACTTTGAAATAAGACATAGCCAATAATGTGGTGTTTGCTTAAAAATCCAAGTATTATTTTTACAACACAGATAATAATGTGTTGTTTATCTGGATGTTCGGGTATAGTTAAACTTAAGCCAGATCCTTCAATCTGTAACCCTGTACCATTTACAGGAAGAATAGGATTGGCAACCTAGTTAGTGGTTACAGCAATCCAAACGAGCCATGTTTCTAGAAAAACAAGGTTATATGGCAGTGATTTATCATCATTATCTTTGTATACCAGGGGCAGTAAATTATTAAAAAAAAAAAAAAAAAGACTCAACCCACAAAAACATCTGCTCCCTGGCAAAAAAGGCAATCCCCTTAAGAATTCCCTTTGATAATGCACATAAAGGCACAAGACAAAAGTAGAATGGGTTTCTCTGGATGTACCTGGTTCATCTCTTTCAGCTTTCACTGAAATTCAACATTCTGAAAGTCTTTGAGATATGAATTAGCTACAGAAACCCACCTAGAACCATACCCACATTACAATCAAACTCTAAGAACTGTAGAAACTATTTTATCCTAAAGTAGACGTAAAGTTTTAAGCCTAGTGAGAGTCTTTAGTCTTACTCAGAGATGACCACCTCTAAGAAATTGAAATACAGTTTAACAGCCACATTGTCAGGAATAATTGATAACATATTAAATATTTTCTCAAAAGCATGTGACAATCTAGGTACAAATACAAGCAATTAATAACTAAAAGTATTTCTATATTTTATGGCTCTTAGTAGAAAGAAACCAAGAATGGTAGCTTGGCTTTTAAGAGATATTTCTCAGCAAATATTTTCCACATATTTTATGAAGATGATTAAACATGAAAACCTTCCTTAAAGTAGAAAAGGAAGCCACAGGTTATACCACTGCATGGTTAAGATTCTAATTAAATAATCTGGATTTTTTAAAAATCTGTTATTCTAAAACTCTCTCCTCTCACTCCTATTCCTCATTCATAGGAAAATGGACCTACAGATAAAATTATAGAGAAGATATTCTTTTATAATTCTGCCCAAAAAGAAACCCTGAAAAATCACCAAATTTACGCAGTTGAAAATTGGGTCTTTACCAAAAGTACCTGTGAATACTCAAGAGAAGCTGTTTTAAAAATAGGACATGTAATTTTGATCAAGAGCTATATTTCATCACAGCAATAAACAGTGGTTTCTAGAACTGTCTTATTAAGACCTTCTGAGCAAGGCCAAAGACTTGTTCATTTCAGCTGATACAGGAGGGCCACTATGCCTAAGTGTTTCTAGAGCTCAAATGTATAACACACCTTAAAGAATCTTTAAAAGCTTACAGAAGTCCTCTAAGCAAAAACTAAAAACATCTGAAAGATAATCCTTGATTTTATTTCATACTACTTTATCTTGTAGACAATCTATTTTCTATAGACAAACAGGCTTTTTTTTTTTTTTTTTTTTTTTTTTTTGCGCCACAGTAAAAGTTTAAAACAAAGCAAACAAAACAAAACAAAAAAATACTCTACACATGATAACAACATCCATGGGAAAGTCCTGGTAGAGTGTGAAGGAAAAACCAAAGCTGCCCAATACAACTGGCTGTTGCCTGTCACTTAGTAGAAGGTGTCTTGCCACTGAGATTGGACTCAAAGTGCAAAAGAACAAAATTTTAAAAATCAAACCTAGAGTTCAACTTTGTATGTTGAGATTCAGTTTTATTTATGCTACTAACTAGGTAAAAAGCATACATATTATGTCTGTGGTACAGTCAATACATCTGCAACTTTTCTACTTAAATTCTCTATACAAAGTCACTGCCGATTGTTATGATCAATGATGGCAAAGGGCTTAGAATAACCAAAAGATATAAAAAAGTTTGCAGTCTTGCCCCAAGATACAAAAACTGAATTTTAAACAATATCATAACATACATGATTTAAACGGTATACCAAAAAAAGTCACACATCAAATCAAGTACAAAAATATCCAAACTACCTATTATGAACTGCAATGTTTCCATTATTCTGCACAGTATTTAACAGAGAATTTAGCAGTTTCCAACACACTCATTATTTAGTCTAAGCACTGCACCTTTGTAGAACAGTGAGATATTAGGTAGAGTGACACTGCTTTTAGTGTTTTTTTTTTTTTTTTTAAATACAAAACCTTTCCCTATGAATTAATGAAGGAAAAGAAATTCCTCTTCTAGGCTTCTTAGAAACCACCCTTGTGCCTAGATATACAGAAAAATACAACTACTGTTTAACAGGGCAAAAGTATACTTCTTGATAAATAGTCACCCAATAGGGATAACAAATTCAGTATCTGTTACATTTCTTTGTCTGGTAAATTTTAAGGAATTCTCAATATACACACAGATTAGTGTTTTGCCTTGGCAAAAATAAAACTGAAGTTGCAAGACAATCTGAATTAAAATCATCTTCACTAGTTTAACTTGCAAAAAAATATTTTGGATAAAAGGTTATAATACATTACTATCTTATTTTTTAAAATACAGAGTAAAGTTGCTCTCAGTAAAATTAACTCACCTGCATGGCACAATATTTTGGAGTAAAGTATGTTCAACAATAACAATTTGCACAAAAAATAACATAGGTGAATTAACTTTGAGAACTTCTCTGCCTTTAAAATCAATAATATTGAATTTATTCTGTAGAATAACACACATACCAATGTTCTGCACATAAAAGGTTCCAAGACATTTTAAAGGGCTAAATTTTCCAGCACTGGAATGACTCCTTCATACATAACTGATAAAGACTTAGTAAGAATGAGTTCTTCCTGATCTTCAAAGTCTGCCCCATGCCTGAAAAGTTCTAAAGAGGAAAATAATTGTTTTAATCCAGTTTCTGTCTGCTAGGAGCAAGGCAGCAAACACATTTCAACCCTTTATGAAAAGATAAAGCAGAACAAAAATGAAATAGATCTTCAGGTTACAAACAGGATTGTATCTTATAGTCCACCATCCTGTAAGGGCCCCCACAGAGAGAGACCTCAGTCTAAAGGCTGTGGGTCTGCAATAGGCATGGTGTGAAGTACTTCATCTAGGAGCTGGAGGGCCCGGTGTAAGTGGATCTCAATCCAGCAAGGCGTTTCTTTGATACTCTGTCTTGGATAATCCGGTCCCCAGCCTTTCACAAAGCTCATCCTGAGTATGCATAAGCGACGAAGATCATCAACGCCAATGCCAGCAGCAGCTGAGAGACCTAACAGAAAAAGTTTGGAAGACGTTAGAGGAACATGGTGATCTCTTCCCATCCTCCCTACATTCTACTTTATTTTCCTCAGTATAAAATTTCTCTGTCAAAGTGGCAAAAGGTAACAGTAGAGCTAAACCTTATCAATAGGAAACTTTTGGTTAAGGCAGTTTACATTCCACAAGTGTCTTCTACGTATTTCCAATTTTAAAGTAAATTACTATAATCCAGTAACACCCCAGCTATTTTTCTCATTAGAAATGGAGGTGAAAGGATAAGAAACTTGCTTTTAAGAGGTAGTATATATAAACAGGTTGATTCTAGGAAACTGACTGTTTATCTAAGCAGCCTATTTTACAGTAAGACATGACTAATAATGAGAGTTAATATGCCTAGCTCCACTAATACACCTTAGATGACCCAGATGATGTTTATCTTGCAATTTCACAGTATAAAATATGCAATGGGGGCAGTTAGATGAGAATAAGAAAGTGAATACTAGTTCTGAATTCTTTAGGAAAAAACATATTTATAACATCAAAGCTAGCAAATTAATCGTTCAGGTGCTCGATTTCTTTTTTAAAGATGAAACTCTCAATGAATGTCTTATCTATGTCTAAACTGTAAACTCCTGAACACAATGGAGACTCTGCATCTAATTTTTCAGTCAAAACACACAGTCATATAGTCATCTGCATATATCAATATTACCATGAAACTAATGGGAAGAATTTGCATGTACTGTAGAGAAACCTGCAGGGCCACTGCAGTTTTCTTAGCCAGTGTGATTTGCTTACCACACTGAAGAGGTTAAGAACAGGGGTTGAATGAATCACTAGTTATGCCTTCAGACGTGGAAGATGGGTGCCACGTGTTTCCATCATAAAAGTCTATAGTCAGGAGTTTAACTCTGCAGTAAAAAATTCCCCATCAGTGTGAAACCTGGCACACAGTTCAATTTTACCCTAAAATTAAAAAAAAGTCTACAAGTTATCAAAATACCACCCTCACTCAGTTTTCTCTCCATGCTTAGCATACTTTAAAAAAAAAAAAAATCAGAGGTGTCCAATTCTGAAATTGAAATATGCTTTTCTTAGTAGAATAATGCCAAGCATTTCAATGATTATAACCCACCCTGACTGGTGAGGCAGAAATCATAAAAAACATCAATAAAAAGGGGGAGACAGAAGAATATAATAATAGCCCCCTTTATCCCAAATTCCCTTTTGATACAAAAAGAACACAAATGGCTCTATCCTAGACAAGGGCAACTATTATCATCCCAGGGGAAAAAAAAAATTTCTATTACTGCTTAAGGGAACTGATCAACTGAGTGAATCAAGATAAAATGCCACTATTATATTAAAAAAAAAAAAAATCAAGAGTATACTTACTGATAGCTGGAGCTATGCCACCTACTGATCCAGGACCAGGGATGTTTCCTGCCACGGCTGCTGCCTGGGCAGCTGCTGCAGCTTGTGCAGTGGCTGCCTGCTGCTGCATCTGTCGATGACACTGACGCAAATCAAAGACCTTTCAAAAAAAAAAAAAAATCTGTTTAATGTTATGAACCCATTGGAAAAGATTTAATACATCAAAATCCAATGAGTAAGTTATTGAAAATTCACAGCTTCATTTTACCTCCCACTAGATGAGATTTAACTAAAAATTTTAATTTCTATATAGATTATAACTGGAATAACACTAGTTAGGAAGGTTGGCTTAGAACTCACCAAGAGGAACATTTTACTATCAGGAATCTGGCTGCCACAAACTTCAGCATCCTTTACCTAGTTAAGTGTGGGTCTGCTGTACTGTCCTTGTGAAAAGCCATCTATCTGTGAAATTACCCCCTCTTCATAATCAAATTGATGAGTTGTCTCTAGGTTGGAGTTGATGGCTATAGTCTCCTGGTCAACATCTTTTGTTCCCATTCTTTATCATTTCTGGAGTTCATTGAACTAGGTTATATGTTTGAAAATATTTATGATTTTAAAAGGAAAAAAAAAAGCTTTGAATCCCATCCCTGATATCTGCTTATTATACGTGTTAAGTTTTTTAACCTCTCTGGAGCCTCCTCAATTTTCTTATCTGTAAAATGAGTACTAAGTGTACATACTTTCATAGGGTTACTGTAAACTTGGCAGAGTAAACTGTCAATAAATGTTACTTATTATTTTGTTCTTGGCCTCACCAGTAGCCATCTTTCGGTATGTGTTAAGGAGGAGCTGGCTGACCAGTAATTCCAGTGTTCTCTTTCAAGGAAGCCAAGGACTGGCATAGTAAGAAAGGGACTGATGTCACTTTTATCATGAAAATATTAACATGTCCTTTCAATACACAACAAATTATGGATAATAGTTCATATCACTCTTTCTAGGAAAAAGCCAACATCCTAAAATAATACATTTATTTGCAAGTTTAAAAAGCACTAGAAGATTACACAAAAGCTGTCATCTAGGAAAAGAAGATGAGGTGGAGGGTAGAAGCAAGGCTGCTCAATGTCAACCATTTTTTAAATCAATTTAATCTCTGAAACCATGTAGTCACATTCCCTATTCAAAAGTCAACCAGTTGTTTAAAAATTCTCTGGTGGGCTGGGGTTGTGACTCAGCGGTAGAGCGCTCGTGCTAGACCCTGGGTTGGAACCTCAGCACCACATAAAAAATAAATAGATAAAATAAAGGTATTGTGTCCAACTAGAACTAAAAACTAAATATTAAAAAAATTTATCTGGTATGCAGCTAAATGAGCTGCATAGAAGCAAACTTAATTATGATTAAAATAAAAGAAACTGAATGCATAACTTACTATTTGGTGATAGACAACAGCTTTAGAACCCAAACCATAAATTTTGAAATGCTTGAACAAGTTCTGATGGTCTTCAACCATAGTATTTACATAAACCATAACAATATACAATAGTAAATCCTCTCCAAGTAGCAATCATATTCCTATTTATTTTTCTATTCAATATCTATCTTATCAAAGTCTTTCTTGATTAGTATCAATGAAATACAAAACTTAGGACTATCCTATTCTTTAAAGAGATACGAATTTTTCAAATATACATGTATTACCTGACAAACCTACAAAGTCCTAAAAAAAACTTCAAAACAGAGATCATGATAAAGTTGGGTTCTAGAAATGAGAAATCTCACAATGCCCCCAGTAAAAAGCAGGACTTTCTCAAGATTTCATTAGATTGTGAACTTTTCTACTGGGCTATGACCATTAGAAGGCATGTTACCTAGCATGGCACAAAGCAGGCATAAACATCTTAAGAGCTGAATAGATACATAAACACTTTAAGAAAGAAGAAAATTAATAAACTACTTTTAGAGTAGTTTTAGATTCAGAACAAAACTGAGCACTTAACATTCTTGCTATTTGAAGGAGTCTAACAAACAGCATTGTCACTACATAAGAAACATCAGGGTTAGGGTTTTATTTCCCCCACCCCCACCCCTGAACTAGGGATTTAACCCAGGGATTGAACCCAGGGATGCTTTACCACTGAGCCACATCCCCAGCCCTTTTTATTATATTTTATTTGGAGACAGGGTCTCAACTAAGTTGCTTAGTGCCTCGCTAAATTGCTGAGGCTGGCTTTGAACTTTGAACTGGCTTTGAGCCTCCTGCCTCAGCCTCCCAAATTGCTGGGATTACAGGTGGGATTATAGGCAGGTGCCACCACGCCTGGCAGGGTTGGGGATTTCAAGTGCAAGACCCTGAATTCAGTCCTCAACCTGGGGGAAAATAAAAGAGAAAACACCCATATATTTTTTAAAAAATGCCTATTCTAGTATGTAGGAGTAGAATAACATGATAACTAAGGCTTGTTTTCAAATTCTTCTTTCAAAGAAAAAAAAAAGATCAAGTAAAGGAAATATAAAATATTAAATACTTCATCTGGGTTTTGTGTTCTGGATTTCATTAAACTACCTTATTCACTAGTTTATCTACAGAGTCCCTGCCATCACACACATAAACCTCCCCAACTAATGACATCCCCACCACAGTGGCACACTTGTTAGAATAAATCAATCTAGAGTGACACATTATTCGCCCAAAGTCCACAGTCACAACATAAGGGCTCACTCTTGGTATTGTACATTCTGTGGGTTTGCACCAACTTATAATGATGTGTATCCATTATCATAGTTTATCACACACTTTCACAGTACTAAAAATTCTCTATTTCCTGTCTATATTCATTCCTGCCTCCCCACTATCCTCTAGTAACTGATCTTCTTACTATCTCAATAGTTTGTCTTTTCCAGAATATCATCTGGTTGGAATCATATAGTATGCAATTCCTCCGTGTCTTTTCAGTGCCTGATAGCTCACTTCTTTTTAACATTGATTAATAGCTCATTGTCTGATGTACTACAGTTTATATATTCACTTACTGAAGAACATCCTGGTTGCTTTCAAGTTTTGTCAACTATGAAAAAGGTTATGGTTTTTGTGTGGACTTAAGTTTTTGATTTGAGTAAATGCCAAGAAATGTGACTGCCAGATTGTAGAGTAGGAATATGTTTAGTTTTATAAGAAACTGCTACACCATTTACCAAAATGACTATGCCATTTTGCATTCTTACTAGCAACAAATCAGAGTCCCATGATCTCACCAGCATTTGATATTATATGTTGGCCTTTCTAATTAGCATGCAGTGGTATTTCATGACTTTTTTTTAAGAGAGAGAGAGAGGATTTTTTAATTTTTTAATTTTCAGTTATCGGTGGACACAACATCTTTATTCTATTTGTATATGGTGCTGAGGATCGAACCCAGCACCCCGCGCATGCCAGACAAGTGTGCTACCGCTTGAGCCACATCCCCAGCCCTCATATGACTTTCAATTTCATAATGACATATGATGTTAAACATCTTTTCAGATGCTTGCTTGCCATCAGTGTAACTTTTTCAGTGAGACATCTGTTCGGGTGTTTTGCTCATGTTTTAATCAAGTTTTTTTGTTTCCCTATTGTTGAATTTTAAGAATTTGTATATTTTGAAAAACAGGGAAGACAGTAGAATTTGTCACACATAAATTTCCTTTGCTCATAAATGAATACATGACTAGTATTAAGTCCACATTATGTAAAAACACAAGAACGAGATCCCAATTGGAATGGATTTTCTCCATAAGACCCTGTGCCTCCTGTCTGTGGTGATTTCTTTGTATTTTTAATGATTTCATGGTAGGGGAATGTTGAGAACACATTTGAACCAAAAAGATTTATATGTAAGTTTTATTCTCTACTCCCAAATAATATTACATGTGTACAGTATTTGATTAGTGATGTTTATAAAAAAGAAAAAGTGGTTATAGAGAATTACATTTAAAATACAAACTCTAAAACTCCTATAAGGTAATAAGAGAAAACCTAAATGACCTTGGTGGTGACTTTTTAGATATAACTTCAGTGATATGATTCAAGAAAAGCATTTGATAGCCTGTACTTCATTAACATTAACTTCTGCTCTGTGTGAGGCAATGTCAAAAGAATGAGAAGACAAGCCACAGTTAGGAAGAAAATATTTCCCAAAGGCATTGCTGATTTACTGATAAAGGACTATTTTTTAAAATTTGTTGTTTTTAGATATACATGACGGGGGGGGGCTAGGGTTGTGGCTCAGCGATATAGTAGTTTTTTACCTCGCACGTGCGAGGCACTGGGTTTGATCCTCATCACCATATTAAATAAAATAAAGTTAGATATATATGACAGTTTGAGTATATTTGGAGATTGAACTTGGGCACTTGACCGCTGAGCCACATCCCCAGCCCTAATTTGTATTTTATTTAGAGACAGGGTCTCAATGAGTTGCTTAGTGCCTCACTTTTGCTGAGGCTGGCCTTGAACTCACGATCCTCCTGACTCAGGCTCCCAAGCCACCGGGATACGCCACTGCGCCTGGCATATTTTGACATACATACATGGAGAAAATCCATTCCAATTAGGATCTCGTTCTTGTGTTTTTACATAATGTGGACTTAATACTAGTCATGTATTCATTTATGAGCAAAGGAAATTTATGTGTGACAATATGTAACAATAAATTCCTTAATATGTACAACTATAATGCACCAATAAAAAATGAGAAAATAAAAAAATATTTAAAAACTGGAACCTTCACACACTGTTTGTGGGAATTTAAAATGGTGTAGCCGTTTTGGAAAACAGTCTAGCAGATCCTCAAAAAATCACACATACCTTATGATCTAGTAGTGCCGCTCTTAGGTATATTCCCAAGACAAAGAAGAACACATGATCATGCATATATTTGCACAAAAAAGTCCATAAGCAGTTTCAGTTATAATATAGCCAGAAAGTAGAAATACACGTCCATCAAATGGTAGATAAACAAAATGGAATTATTCAACTATAAAAATAAATAATATATATATACACATATATCATATATCATATATATATATTATATATATATAATATATATATGAAGCTTGAGACATTATGCCTAGTGAAAGATGAAAGCCAAAAAAGACATTTTATTAATCCAT